TATATATATATGGAAATGAGGATTAGAAACATGGATTGGGAGTTAACAAGGTGTAGGAGGCCTTCTATAAGCCCCCAGACTAGATCATTTTGCTCTATTTAACTGCTTTTATAGCCCCTCATACTCTCTTTTTGATAACACTGGAGTTGTAACCCTTTGTCAAGTGTCTGTCATCCTCTATTGCATTACGAGATCTATATTGAAAATGATCTTGTCTGTTTTGTTCACCAACTCATTTCCAGTGCCTAATATGGTACCTGGCACATGATACTGAATACCTGGAATTGACATGAGTGCACAGGGGAGGAAGACAGAGAGAGAGGAGAGATGACAGATTCAGTGACTCAGGGATGCTGGGTACAACCACGGGTGTTACTGTGTGTCTCTTGTCAGGAAGGCACCCTAAAGATTACCACCTTAACAGCTGTGAGTGGAAGAGAAAGATCTAGCAAAGGAAATCGAGGAAGGACAGGTATAAGGAGAATCAGGAAGGAGTATATTAAGGAAGTTGAGGAAGGAAATACTTAAGTTTCAGATGTCTTAAGAAGTCAAAACAGATATGAATTGCTCAGTTTATGGGCTGATAGAGGAACATAAGCAGTGTTTATAAATTGTTGGCTTTTTTGCTTGTTTTCTGAAAATAGAGTTAAATGGTATTTTATGTCGGAATAAAGAAAGGAAGGCATAGAATCAAAACAACTGAAATCCTTTAAAAAGAGTTGTTGGAAACTAAGAGATACGCTCTCAATAAATGCAGCAAAGCCATTTTTTCTCATGTGGAAGAGTTAGCTATTCCTTTGGCAATAGTTTCCTTGTATCTTGTATGCAGGGACCATGTTCTGTGAAAAATGTGTTCATCTGAACGTTAGCTTCACATTCAGCGTGGTAAGATGCTCACACTCTGAGAGCCAAGTGGGCACTAAGACCGACTGAGGGGAGAGCAGATCGAGCGAATTGACTGGTGGGATTGACCATGCTATTTATTTTTTTTCTCTCTTGCTATGTACCTATTTGCCATGTGCTAATTGAATTTGGGTATGCTAAATGCTCATAGAGCAACGTCACTGTAGTATGTTCCAAACAGAGAAGAAGGAGAGGGAGGAGCAATTTATTTGCAATCTGTGGATTGCTCTGTGTTGTGTCTTTTAATCAGAGCTTTAAACTTTTAAAATTTTATCAGATAAGAATGTGTTTAATATTTCATTGATTTAGAACCTTATATTTGTATCATGTTTTCAGTTTTAGAAATCGTCATATGTATTTGTTGCTGGATGCTAGAACAACTTCATTAGGTAGACAGGACAGATTTTGTTTTATTTTTTTTGCAAAGAGGTTAAGCTACCAGTATTATAACCCTGTGATTTTTTCATACCATATTATTCATCCAAAAAGCATTCTAAAATTTGTGTACGTGAGTGTTTGTTTCACTCTAATTAATCTGATTTTAAGGAATCATGACTTAGAGAAAGAACTGTCTTCCTCTGGGCATTTTGGTGTCTTTTTCACTATCCCTTTGTTTTTTAGGTCCTCGTTATCAAATAAGGTCTTTTAGAACTCTGTGGGAAGAAAGAAATGTTTTAAGGCTTCCTAAAATTTTGTATTACTAATTGCTGGGAAGAAAAATAAAATCTGTATGTAGTTTGTAAAGATTACAAAACTTACAAACAATACTTAATATTGTATTATCTTATAGTGGAACTAATATAATTTCTATATTTTTAATTTAAGTTACTTGTCATGATATTAGTTTAGTGGGGATGGCAGCATTAAAAAACAATGAAGTGAAATAGAAAATATCAGAGTGCATTGCATATGGTAGAAGTGTTAACTTTTGTTTCGAAACTGTATGTGAATGTGTACTGAGTCACAGACATAAAATGTATTTTTTACTGTGTCATAGTTTAAAAAGTTTTAAAACACTGGCTTAGAAAATTCACTTATTATCTTCCAGCTTTTGTTACCTTATTGAATGGGGAACAAGCCCAGAATGCAATTCAAATGTTTCATCAATATTCTTTTCGAGGAAAAGACTTAATAGTCCAGCTGCAGCCAACAGATGCTTTGCTGTGTATTACAAACTTGCCCACTTCGTTTACATTAGAAGAGTTTGAAGAACTTGTCCGTGCTTATGGAAATATCGAGAGATGTTTTCTGGTCTACAGTGAAGTTACTGGCCATTCCAAAGGCTATGGATTTGTGGAATACATGAAAAAAGATTTCGCTGCTAAGGCTAGACTGGAGCTATTGGGCAAACAGTTGGGAGCATCAGCTCTCTTTGCACAATGGATGGATGTTAATCTACTAGCCGCAGAGCTCATTCATTCTAAGTGCCTTTGTATAGATAAACTCCCTAGAGACTACAGGGATTCGGAGGAGCTGTTGCAGTTTTTTTCCAGTATCCATAAACCTGTGTTTTGCCAGGTATGTATCTCTAAGATATCATTTGAAATATTTAAAAATATCTACATATGTATCCTGCATGCACTCACAAATTTACCCCTGTGATTATCACAATGGATAATCTAATTCTACTTTAGTCTGTAATGAAGGCTTTAATGTCAATTCCTTTTGTCGATGGACCAAACTATCTTGTTACATAGTTAAGTATGTCTTAGCAAATGTATCGCTAGTCACCTTCTTATTTTATCCATTTATTAGGCCATTCATTCATTAATCCATTCGTCCATCCAAATTTTCTTTATCACCTTCTCTGTGCCAGACACTATATTGCTAAGTGTCAGACATATCAATAATAGAAAGATGCTCTCTCAATACCTCACGGTTTTGTAGACTAGACTGACAAGTAACCAAATAATTGTAAATCCTCTATAAAGAGTGATTTAATGGAAGATAGAAAAGTATAATGAGGTTTAAAAACAATGTATAATTGTATCTTAATGGGGTCATGGTAAATGAGATATTTAGGGAAGATCCCGAAAACTGACAACACTGGTAAGTTTTCAAGTACTTTATCATAATAAGTTTAAATATATTCTACTAAATAGACAAAAATGCATACTATATAAAACTTCTGTTATAAATGTTTGACAGCAAGTGATGAACTCTCTCTTGTTTCCCTTCTCTTCTTACCTTCTACACCCACCGCCCCCTGCTTTTTCTTTAACCATACATGTGTTTAGTCTCTACAATTGCAGTAGGAAGTTTGGAATTAGAGATATAAACACACACACACACACACACACACACACACACACGATTAATGCTGCCATCTTACTTTTTCTTAAATTTCATTTCTTCTAATCCCAATATATTAACCATCAAAAAAAAACATCCTAGAGTTTTATAAAATTTTGTGACGAATTTTTTATTAACCTTTGCTGTTATTGAAAGTGGATTGTCTTATCTATGTACTATTCTTGTTACTAAGAGTTGTATAGTGATATCCTGTAGCCACACATAATTCTTCGTAGCTTTAGTTGATGCCTTTGAAACAAATGTGAGGGGAAAAGCCATTTGTCACAAATTGTATTTGAATTACAAATCTCAGAGTTGAAGAGACTTGAGAGGTTATCTAGTCTAGCTTGTCATCTCATAGAAAAAATGTTTATTACAATATCTGTGACCATTTAGCTTCCATTAAAATATTTCAAAATAACGGAAAATGTAACTAGATCAAGTCAAACCATTTATATATTTGAATGGCTTTCATATTGAACTGAAATAGCCTTTAAAACTTTAAAACTACTGATGCTGTGCACTTAGATGATTTTGTCTTTTGAAAGATTTTAAATATTTTTATTCATATAGACATGAAGATTATCATAATGAACCAGGAATAAAAAATGTTTTAAAAGACTAGTAAAAACCACTTATCAGTGGATCCGTTAAATTCAGGCTCTTCTGCTTGGTAGGTTGGCATAGACTATATTGAAGACACAGTCTCTTCTGTGATGAAAAGAGACCAAAGAGGCTAATGGCTTTTTACAAATCTGATTTTAAGATCTGGTTTGGATTATAAGAGGAATGGGATGGTAGGAGAATATTCGTAAAAGGTAGATATTTCTTTTTCTCCCATATAATTGGAAAAAGTTTTATGGAGAAAAAGACATTTGAGGACAATTTTAAAAGGAAGGAAGAATGTGAAGGAAAAATAGATATTTGATATAACTGTACAAGAAAGCAGAAGAAAGTTAAGTTTCAAAAATAAGAGAAAACAAACTATAAATAACTGTAATATTAATTTATGAGATGCCAAATCCAAATAGAAGTTTTGTAGATGTGTCTCTCAAAGATATGCAAAGCTGAATTTTATCTCCTTTATCACTTAACAGCATGAATATGTTTGAGATAATTCAGACATATTCAAAACTTAGAAACTTTTTAGTGCCTTATTTTGTTATTTTTGCTCTTTGTACCAGTCTTTACAGATCCAGGACTTTAGTATCTTCCTTTTCACTCTTACAGGTGGGTGACTAGAAATAAATTAAGTTCTGCATTTTAGCAATTTAGGGCATATTGAGAAATAAAGGTTGTGTGTTGCATATGGTATTTTAATAAACCTGGGACATAGTTTTCCCAAATAAGATTTGCTTGGTATACTTGACCAAATTCCTGGGGTCTGCCTGAAATATTGAAATAAAAGTTGAATATGGTTCCTCCTACCTTTCTTCTCTTGATAAATGCAAACTTTATTTTATAGAGATATGTGGTCAAATAATTGTTTCAGTATGTTTCATTGTCCATGTATCTGGTGAATTTATTTTAAAGAAAGTTTTAATTATTGTATCCCCATATTTTCCTACAAATTATCAGTTACATATGTTTCTTAATACATTGGTAATATTATCACTTGGGCTTCAACTATTAAATTAGAAAATCAAAGAATTAAAAAGAAATGACAGAATCTTGTTTGTCATCCTGTCTTCCAAGATCATCTTGCATCTAAGCAACTATTAAACTTTTAGAAAGAACACATTGTTTCTCCATCATCATGCTCTGATACATTTGTTCTTGAATTTGAAAATTATATACTGTAAATAAATATTTTAGCTAAATAATAGAATTCCCTTTTAACAAAATGTATTATATTAGTTTGCACAGGATGAAAGTAGTTGTGTTGGTGGCTTTGCAGTGGTTGAATATAACACTGCAGAGCATGCTGAGGAGGTTCAGCATGCAGCTGACGGTATGACCATCAAGGGGAGCCAAGTCCAAGTTTCCTTCTGTGCCCCAGGAGCACCAGGGCGAAGTACATTAGCAGCCTTGATAGCCTCTCAGCATGTGGTAAGTTTGTTGTTCTTTATTAGCATATAGAAAAATTTTAATACTATTTTAATCTATCCAGACTAATTGACCATTGATTGGACCTTCATTGTATTTCTATTACATAAAGATATTTTTCTTTTAAAAAAATGACGAATGGTGTGTCTGTCAAATCAAGCCAAGAGTTATTACAAAAGAAGATACTGTGTTTAGTGAGGTTTAATTATCTTAGAAAATTTTTTGAAGGAATTTCATTCATTCAGCAAATATTTGAGTTCTCGTTTTGTTCTAAATTTTCAGTGTAACATGCCTCTTTCTCACTATGTTCATAAGTATCCATAGTACAAGTAGAGGAAGATGTGTGCTTCATTTTTGCTCACATGGCACATCGTAGCTATTTCTTCTGTCTTCTTATCCTCTCTTTACTTCTCTGGTCTGGAAGTTATACACTGATAGAGACTTTTCCTTCTTCACAGTTTTTACTCCTAGCACTTAGCATAGTAAATATTTGTTGGTTGAATGAAGGAAGAAATACACTTTTGAAGGGATCAGGGAAGATTTCATGATGAAGGTAACATTTGAGTGTGACATTAAAGTACAGTTTTGAAATGTGTTGATGGGGGTGGAGGATAGGATTGCCAGATAAATACAGATTTTGCATGAGACAGTTATATTAAAAAGTTATTCATCATTTATCTGAAACCCAGATTTAACTGGGCATCCTGTATTTTTACTTGCTAAATCTGGCAACCTTAAGGGAGAGAGTAGTCAAACCCTAGGTAGTAGTATGAGGTGAATTTGCATTCTCGACGAGTGGCAGGTGGTCTAGGTGAACTGAGTGTATAAAGGGATGTATGGCAAAATGGTCAGTTGATGTCAAGGAGCACTATTGAGCACTCAAAGAATTTGGATTGAATTTGATGAGCAGTGGGGAATTTATAAAGTATATAAACAAGGTCGTGACAGGATCAAAGTTAAGCTATCAACAGATTAGTCTGAAAGTGGTTTGTAGATGAAGTAGAGAGAGAGATTAGGGGAGAGAGGAACAGCTAGGAGATTGTTGTTAGTCTCATATCTCTTGCCCTCCTTCTCTTTGACTTTACCTCTGGTCCCAGATCCCCTTTCCCCTTTTTTCTTAGTTCGCCCTTAGGTTCTTCTGTCATTTTCATATTCTTCCTTGCATAATTCACTACTGTGGCCATTCTTTCACTATCAACTTCATTGCCTTTGGTTAAATTGTCTCTTTGTTGGATTGGAATTGCAGTTTACAATTCTGAATCCATCCAGTCACCTGCTTTTGCATCCAGGGCACTATTTCCTCTTGGAAGAAAACAAAAACAGCTAAGCATCTTGATGCCACTACAAATGCATGACATATTTGTAGCTGGTCCCAAAACAAAACTTTAGCTCATATCTCATTAGCCACTCTTCTTTCCATTTTCCATAATAGCTATCTCAAACTTTCACGCTATTCTTGCCTTTCTCCTTCTTTCTGTCAGATGATCATGGCTCCTACTTTATAGAAATATAAAGGTCATGTGCTGGACACATTCATTCAGCTTTTCTCCTACTCCCCAAACATGCCCGCATTATTTTTTAACTTCTTTTTCTCTTCAATAGCATTCATTCCACAAGTACTTATTAGATACCCGCTGCATTCTAGGCACTATTAGATACGTTTATGATTCATCGTTGAGCAAAGCAAACAAAGGAAAAGCTACACTTCTTCCTGCCAAAGCAGGCCTTTGTGAACATGTACTCCATCCTCAAGGATCTTGATCCTCATCTTTCGTATTTTTTACTTGTTCCACTTCTCCCATCTTCTTATAAACATGCTCAAATCTTTAATTTAAAGACCTCTAGATACTGGCCTTTTTAGTATTCTCCTTTACGAGTAGAGCTTCTGGAACAGTCAGGCCCCTCTCGTCACCATTTCTTCATTTCCCATTTCCCTCTCAGCCTAATGCAGTGTAGTTGCTCTCTCGACAACTATTCAAGTGAATCTTTTTCTCATGAAGATTAACAGAGATTTCTTAATATTCAAGTCAAATGGATGCTTTTCAATTTTTTATTGCTTGGTCTCTTTGCAACCTTTAAAACCCTCTGCTACCTTGAATTCTACCACACCATTCCTTTCCTACCTGTCTAACTGTTCCTTCCCGTTTTTCCTTCTTTTTCCCTAAGGGATGGTATCAATAGACTTCTATATTTGGCCTTTTCACTTTTTTCCTCTTAATACTCCAGTGGCTTTAGTTATTGCCTATCCTTGATTTCTTCCAAACATATATTTTTGGATCAAACTACTCTAAGCACTAAATCTGTATTTCCAAATGATTATTAGACATCCCACCTTATATAAATAGTTCAATTTCAGTATCTCCAAAGGAAAACTATTTTTCTCTGAGACTTGCTTTTCTCTGTTCTGTAATATCTACATATGGCATCCGTTCATCAGAACTAAAACTGCCTGAACCAAAAACTCAATCATGATTGGTCTCCCTCACCCCCCAAATCTAAATGTCAAATATGTTTTAAAAATCCTTTCAGTTGCACCTCTGGATGTCTCTTAAATCCTTGAGACTCGTCAGCATCTTCGTTACTCAGATCTCATCTTCTCTCACCTTAGTGGTTGAAATAGCCCCTTAGGTAGTCACCATGTCATCAGTCTTTCCCTTTCTGATCCATCTGCCACAGAGCCACACGAGTGATCTTTCTCATCCTTAAATTGGATTATGTCATTCTCTTGCTTATTATTCTTTAATGCTTGCATAAGTTCAAATTCCTTAGCACGGCATATGGGGCCCTTGGTGATCAGACATCAGTGGCAGAGAGAAATCTTAAAATTTTCTCAAAAGTAATGTATTACATTGGCTTTTCTCTACGTGTTCTTGGTATATATCCTTTATCAAGTTTTCCAAAATTTAAAAAAAATCATAAATAGGTAGCGAACTTTATCAGTTTTTCTCCAGCTATCGAGATAATCATGTGATTTCTCCCTAAATTTATTAATATACTGAATCATGTTGATACATTTTCTAATATTAAACCATCCTTGTGTTATAAGCCCTATTAGTAATGACTTTTTCCTGATGCATTATTTGGTTAGATAGTTTTGTTTGGTATATGGCAGATGTGCTCGTAAGTGAAAAATGCTTAAAGTTTTTCCATCATTCTGATTTTTTACAATCAAAAGAACTCTGACACCTTTAAATGATTTAAGTGTTTTTCCCCTCCCTGTTTTATTTTTTAACAGTAATTATTTTTTTCCATTACCTTTTTTAAAACTTTCAATTATAGTTGCCATTCAATATTATATTAGTTTCATGTGTACAGCACTATGGTTAGACATTTATGTAATTTACGAAGTGATCCCCCCGATTAGTCTAGTACTCACATGGCACCATACATAGTTATTATAATATTGTTGACTACATTCCCTATGCTGTACTTTATATCCCCGTGACTAATTTTATAATTGTCAGTTTGTACTTTTTAATCTTTTTTACCTTGTTCACCTAGTCCCCAAACCCCCTTTCTATCTGGCAACCATCAATTTGTTCTCAGTATTTATGAGTATGTTTATGTTTTCCTGTCTTATTTCTATTTTATGGATTAACTTGTGTAAAATGGGGTTGCCTGTGCTTCGCAAGTTTGAGAGATCTCACATGTTAAACCATGTAGACCTAGTCCTTGAGCCTCTTCCATAGGGAAATTGATTACCACTTAATTTTCTTCTATAATTATTTAGACATTTTAGGTTTTTTTCCTCTGTATGCCACATTTGGCATTTGATTTTATTCTACAAATATCCATTTTGTTGAAGCTTTCAAATTTATTGGCACATAGTTATTTATAATGCTTTATTTTTAAAATCTGTCATGTCTAGTGACCTCATTTTTATCATGTATTTTATTTGCATTTTCTTTTTTTCCTTGATGGTCTTGCAAGAGATTTCTCTATTTCATCTTTTCAAAGAAACATCTCATTTTGGTTATTATTTCTATCTTTTGCTTATTTCTGCCCTTATGTATAGAATTTCCTATTTATTTAAATTTACTCTTTCTTTCAGCATTATTGATATCATTGCTTAGAACTTTTGTTTTCAATCTAAATATTTTCTGATGAATGTATTTAAAGCAAGTTTCCTTTTACCTAATGCTATACCTATGTGTCATCAATTTTAGATTATGAATGTTTTAAATTTTTGTTATTTTGAATTCATAATTTGTTTTGATTTTGTTTTTCATTTAGAGCCACTTAGGAATTAAACTATTCTTCTGCTATAGATTTCTAATTTTATGGTGGTGTGGTCAGAGAATCGAGTCTCTAATGTTGATTTCGGGGAGGGGATATTGTGGCTTTTGTGGCTTGGTGCATGGTTGATTTCTGTGAATGTGTCATGTATGCTCAAACACAATCTATAGTATGTAGGTTATAAAGTTAAATGTGCTGTTACCATGCATAATTGTTGATTTTTCTACTTCTCCTTTTTCTGTCATTGCTCCATATAAGTTTCTTGTTGCTGTTTTTATGGTCTTGGCTTTTGTATACAAGATTGAAATTAACTATGATATTACACCTTAATTTCCACGTATCATGAAATATCATCTTGTATTTTTTGCTTCTCGTTTCACATTTTAAGGGAGAGTGTTCATGTGGTAAAAACTTTTGAGAATTTGTATGGCTAGGGATATTTTTATTTCACATATTTAATAGCTTAGCTGGATATGAAAATCTAGATTCACAGTTCTTTTCCTGCAGCACTTTGAAAATATTAATTCGTTGCTTTCTTGAATTCAGTGTTGATGCTCTGTTCCTTTGGAGATATGTTCTTTCTCTCTGGAAGTTTTAGCATTTTTTCTTTGGCTTTGATTTTCTTAAATTTCACACCAAAAGAAAATGGGACTAGGTATGTTTTTTCCATATACATCATATTTGGATCACTGTGAACACTTTCATTCTGTTGTCTTTAAATTTTTTTAATGGAAATTCTCAGCCATTATTTCTTCAAAGATTTCCATTTTTCCTTCTTCAGGACACACACACACACACACATACACATGCACATACATACATACATGTTGATACTTCTAGCCTCTTAATTGCCTTGCTTTTTTCTCTTTCATTTGAATTTTCCATTTCCATGTTTTTATTCATTTGTATTTTCCCTTTTTTATCCTTTGCCGATGTCTTCTGGGATATTTCAGATCACTATTTTATTTTTCAGTCACATATATTCTATTTATCTGTTATAGCACAGGACGAAGGTTAAGAATTAATGCTCTATAAGTTTCTTTACTTTCTTCATCAATAGAATGGAGATAGTAATACCAACCCCGTAGAGTTGTTTTGGAGGATTAAGTGATGTAATCTATGTAAAATGCTTAAAGTAATGCCAAGTATATAGTAAGTGAGGGCTGCTATTTTTTTAAATGTTTATGTTTTTTATACCCAGTATTTCTAATTGGATAGTCTTTGTAACTGCTTGTCCTTGCTTCATGTTAGCAATAAAAATCTGTTACCTTTTTAAGCATGTCTATTACTATGTATATCCTATCCATTAATTCTCCTTTGTCTCTTACAGATGGTTTAGTTTGTTGCCTTTATTTTTTTATTGGCTACATTCTCCAGATGTGTAGTTATTTTGTAGGATGAATATGTATTTCCTTGAGAGGGTATCAGCTTCCTTGTATGTGTTTAGAGGTTGATTGGGTAGAGGATAGACAGTGGGAGAGCTGAAGCTTGTTCTTAACTAGGGTTTAGGTGAGGACCTAGGACAGAGAACCTCTGCCTTTGCTTTCTGTCCTTGACCATAGTCCTTTTCCCATGCCACCAGGCAACCCTGTGCTTTCAAGGGCCTCTGTTCATCTCCACTCCCAAACCTGCTCTTCTCCAAGTTCTGCCTTTCTCAGTTATAACTCTTTTACCCTGCACAGTGGTAATAAAGAACTGGAGAAGGTTCAGGGAGGTGGGAAGGAAGTTATCGGTGTCTGTACCTCATGTACCTAGTGTTACATGGTCCCCACTGTCTCTGAGTTTACATGCTACTTATTGTTAATTCATTGATCCTATCCTACACACTAGACTGAAGCTGCTGTTTTCCCTCCTCATTGTGCTGGCCAGGAAAGCTGTGATCCCTCTAGGACAATGTAGAGGAAGCCATGTAGTTACACAGCTAAAAAGCCCTTCTCCAGACTATTCTGTCTGTGGATCCAGGCTCTCTCATGCTCTCTGGTGATGCTTACCTCTGCACTGGGACCTCCTGCCTTCTATCCATTCAGGAATTTCTCACCAGTCTTGTGTCGGGTTCTCAGATCCATCACCCTCTCCCTCTCAGTTTCATGGTATAAACTGACCAGTTATCATTGTCAGTTTTTTATTTTTTTCATGGGTAGAAGTTTATAATTTTCTTCTTATAACATGATACTAATATTCTTATCCATTAGGCTAGTTTCTAAAACCGAGAACAATTTTATATTTTTAGGAAGTTACCCAATTACATGTATATAAGGCCAGTTCATCTTCATCTCATAATAGAGGATTAAGTTAATGAAATAAAGACCTTATTATAAGAAAATGTTGATTTGTAGGGTAACCCACGTTATTACACTTTAGAGCAACACTATAGTAAGGCTCTTCTATGGTAGCCAAGTATTCATATATTGTGTCAACAAGTTAGCTTCCTGTTGATAAATTCAGATTCCCTTGGCATCTTTCTCCTTGTGTTATACAAAGATTATCTTACTAGTCCTCTTAAAGCTAATTTGTCTTTAATTGAGACAGTCTATGAGGATTTCAGTATGTGCTATATAGTAGAATATCATAACATTATCATTAGAAACTGGTAGAAAGTACACAACAAATGTATAATATAAAGCAAATTGTGTTATAAAATAGATCTCATCATATGAATGAGAATTTCTAAAAGAAAGCCTTTAAAATTTCATCTTCTGTACTTATCCTTATTCTAATATTCTCTATTTCTGTATTCTTTAAAGATGCACAGTAATCAAAAGGGCTTACTTCCAGAGCCAAATCCTGTACAAATTATGAAGAGTTTAAACAACCCTGCCATGTTACAAGTTCTTCTACAACCCCAACTCTATGGGCGAGCTGTTAAACCAGGTAAGCACCGTGTGCACTGATTACATGTGGAATGTGGACATGAAGTCAAGTGTTCTGTTTTACATGAAAAAACATTTAAATAAGCACCAAAATATTAGTTTTCTAGGACTTGTTAGTGAATTTTAATCAATGATCTGAGGCGATAATATGTTTTGACTATTTTTGGTAGATACGATTTGCTTTTAGGTTCCTAAATTTTTTTTTTTTTTTTTTACCATTAACAAATATTAAATTAAACCTTTAGTTTAGCTCCTCATTGAAATGAATTTATAGACCAGTGTAGTAGTAGTATACTGTGCTGTTTTGGAATATCTCAGCAGAATTACTTTGTTGAAAGTGCTAAAAGTGTGTTTCCTCTTCATTCTTACCTTTTTTGTTGTAAAATTGTTTCACTTTGTAAAACATGACAAAGACAGTGTTTTCTAAGCATTATGGAAATCTGTAGTATTGATATACATTAAATATCTACCTATTTAGTATTTTTTCTCTATTAAGAGCTTATTTACCTTCTGAAATGCACAACGGTGCATACACAAAATACATTTTAGCATTATGAGGAAACAAATTTCTATATTTAACACTAAGTTTGAGAGTGAAAATATTAGAATAAATATGTTTATTCATTTTCAACCCTAACTGGTCTAACACCAAACAGTGGAGTGCAATTCAATTCTAGCACTAACTACCCAGAGTTATCTTAGACCCCATAAGTTAAGGACTTAGTCTCCATTACATCTGCCCCTACTTCACACACCAGCTGCAAGTTCAGGGGGCTCCAGGCTACCTGCCCTCTGACCAACTGGCTACAAATTTAGGGGTTCCTGTGACCCCCTCAGATTTGATAATTTGCTAGAACAACCAACAGGACTTAGGAAAATACTATACTTATGATGACAGTTTTATTATGAAGGATATAACTCAGAAAATGCCAAATGAAGAGGCAGTTAGGACTAAGTCCAGGAGGCCCTGAATCAAAGCTTTTATGCTCTTTCCCCGTAGCACCAGGGCACATTTCCCTCCTAGCACATCAATGTATTCACCAACTAGGAATCTCTAATGAAATTCGATGTCCAGCGTTGTTATTGGAGTTTCATTGTGTAGGCGTGATTGTTGGCCATGCTATTTAACTCAGTCTCCAATCCCACTCTTCTCTCTGGAGGGCAGGAGGTCTGGCTGACATCACATGACTTAAAGCCCCAATCCTCTAATAACAAGGTTGAGCTTTCTGGCACAACCAGCCTCCATCCTGAAGCTACTTAAGAGCCACCTTGAGTTGCCTCATCAGCATGACAAAGATACTTTTATCACTGGGGAAGTTCCAAGGATTTCCTTCCAGGAACCAGGGACAGGGACCAGTTAAATAATTTATCATACGACAATATTCATGTTAAGTACTTCATATGATCAATTATTTGTGTGGAATAAGCAGCTTTAGAGGTTTTCTGGCTCACCCTATTGTGTAATCAAGATCTCTCCTCTACAATTTTAATGGTGTAGAGAGATCCTTGTATTTCTTGACTAATGAAGCAGAAGAAGCTCATTGTTTCCCAAGACAACCTATTCCCTGGTATGACAAATTACTAGGAGGTTTTTTTTCCATTATATTAGATGGTAATTTCTATAACTTGTAGCCGTTTACTCTAGTTCTTCTGAAGAAACACAGAATAAGTCTGTTTTCCTCTTTCCATAAGAAAAGGCTTCTAATATTTGAAGACAACTAAAATGAAACCTCAGTCATCTTTGTTTTTTCTGTCTTCTATTCTCCAGACGAATGGTCTCCTTTTATTTATTTACTTTTTGACTGTGCAACCCTATCAATAAAATAAATTTTGATATTTTTAAATATATAAAGTCTATGCATCAATTTTATGTCAGTTATATAACTACACCCCTGTCAACTCATTATGAAGAAATTATAAAGTTTAATATCTTAATTTTTTAAAATGAAAGTAAATATAAATAACAGATCTAATATATTCTTTTCATACCTCTTATACCTCTTTAGAGACTATACTTCTATATTTGACTTTCTATAACGTGTTATAGTGTATACTCTCTAGATCCTCCACAGATTGTCCTCTTGTAGATAAAACCCAGGTTTTCTAGCTTGTCCTGGAATGTGGTGAACACAGAAGTGAGCATATCTTATGGGTGGGATCTGATCAGCACAAAATGCAGTGGTATTTCCTTCCTATGATCGTTAATTGCTATTAATGAAGTCCAAGATTGTCTTAGTGTTTAAAGAAGTATATCACATTCTAGGATAAATTTCACCTGGTCACGATGTATTTTAATCCTTTGTATTTATTCTTGGTTAATAGTGTTCAGGTCTTCTATATCCTTACTAGTTTTCTGTCAACTTATTAATTATTGCAAGGAAAGAATGGGGCATAGTGGGAGATCTAGCCAAGAGCTAAGGTTAAGAGTGGTTAGATATGAGACAGGACATCTTCAGAGTGTTTTGGTTCTAGTTGTTGTTTTAAACTGGGAAATACTTCATTCACTAAAAGCTGTGACAATATATTTTAATGTTTTATAATAAAATACAGTGACTATCTGAAAAAAGAAGGTGGTACTAAAATTTCTAACTAATTGTGGGTTCGTTTACTTTTTTTCCAGTTCTAGAATTTTTCTACACACTCACACACACACACACACACACACACTTTGTTATTTGGTACAGAGACAAATATTTAAGATTGTTGCATCCTCTTGATGAATTGACCCCTTTACCATTATGAAATGACCATCTTTATCACTCTTTGCTAATAAACAGTGTCTTTCTTTATAAGTAAATCATCCTAACAATATAATCGTCTCACCACCTATAGTGCAGCTGGCTCATTCTAAAGAAAGCACTTTCTAATGGTTAATTTTCCAAAGATATGATAAAGTGCCTCAGCAGGTAATAAAAACTTATAACAGAGTTTTTAAAGCATGGGATGAACTTATAGGAATGTTATATATAAATTACAATATTTTTGATTATCGGATTATATGCTTTTTGAAGTACTTTCTAAGTCTTACCTTCTAGGGTTCGTATTATCATATTGCTAGATAATTTTGTATATTATGACTAATTCCAGTTACTTTATCATAATTAGATGAAATTGTTTTATATATTTTCTATCACAGTTCTTTTGTTCTATATATCGTCTATTCTGAAAACATCTCTTCTGATATGTACTCTGGTATTTGTGCTCTTAGACAAACTTGATAAAGAGTATGGTTTCCATTTATTTTATTGACTATGTACAGTACTCTTGTTTCTTTTGTTTTTATTATGTAGATGTTTTTATATACATATACTCTCTCAATTAGATCGTAAGCTTTTGAAGGACAGGATTGTATATGGTCCTCCCTGCATACTCAGTGCCAAAATACCCCAAAACCCTAACAAAAACACAGAGCAAATAACATGGATTCAATTAGTATTATACTTATCGAAAGATAGACTTAGTTTTGTTTGACTAAGCACTAGAGAAGGGCTAGGTTCGGTGTTTTACCATTATGACAGAAAGTGTTAGAATTTTAAAATCAAATTCTAGGGTTGAATCACAAGGAAAGAATCCTCTCACTTTTTGTGCAATAACAAGGTTGGTATATAAATGAACTTCCAATGAATTTGTTAGAAGTTTAAAGAAATAATCATTTACCCTTTTTGGAGTTTATTTATTTTTAAATCCCATATATATCATAAAGTTAAATTTTTTACTTTTATTTTCTTAAAGCAGTTCTTGGAACACCTTACAGCTTGTCACATCTGATGAATCCATCCATCTCCTCTGCATTTTTACATTTGAATAAAGCACATCAGGTATATAAATAGTATTGAGTACTGAAGCATCAAAAATTTGAAGTGAATGTTTTGTTTGTTCTTTAATGTAAAGTTCTCAAGAAGTTAAATTAGTATTTTATTTTTTAAAAAGTCCTTAGCCACAAATATAGCTACATAAAAACGTAAGTTAGAGTACATCAAATCAAACTAATCAAAGCAACATAGTTATATATATTTATTGATTCCTATTTGTAAGCTATTAAGGGAAGAGGTATATATTTGTGGTATATTTTTCTGTAAATAAATCAGTATGGTCATACATTGCTTAACAGTGGGATATGTTTTGAGAAATGCAGTTAAGTGATTTTATCATATGTGAACATCATAGAGTGCACTTACAGCAACCTAGATGGCATAGCCTACCGCACACCTAGGCTATATAGAATATGCTCCAAGGCTGCAAGCCTGTACAGCATGTTACTGTGCTGACTAATGTAGGCAATTGTAACACAATAGTGAGTGCTTGTGTATCTAAACATTGAAAAGGTACAGTAAAAATACAGTATAAAAAATGGTATATCTATATAAAGCACTTAGTATAAACGGAGCCTGCAGGACTGGACATTGCTCTGAGTAAGTCAGTGAGTGAGTGGTGAGTGAATGTGAAGGCCTAGGGCATTACACCATGGTAAACTTTATAAACACTGTGCACTTAGGCTACACTAATTTAAAATTTTTTTCTTCAATAATAACCTTAGCTTACTTTTTTACTTTATAAACTTTGAGTTTTTAAGTTTTCAACTCTTTTGTAAAAACATAGTTATTACTGCTGTACAAAAGTATTTTCTTTCTTTATATTTCTATTCTATGTTTTTTTTTTCTATTTTTAAAATTTACATTTTTTTATACTTTTAAAACTTTTTTTTTTGTTAAAAACTTAAGACAAACGCACATATTAGTCTAGGCCTGCACAGGGTCAGGATCATCAATATCACTGTCTCCCACCTCCACATCTTGTCCCACTGTAAGGTCTTCAGGGAAAGTAACACATGGAGCTTTTATTTCCTACCACCGTCTTTTATTTGTTTCGTCGCTGACCAAAACATCATTATGCAGCATATGACTGTAGTTCAAAACAAGACTTCTTATGTTTTCATAACTCAAAAGAGATATTTACAGAAAGAAAAAAAATAAACACATGAACAGTAACTCTTCATTCTTAAAATTTAATCAGTGTTATAAAAGTAATTCATATGTTTATGAAAGTAAACTAAATTTTTTCAGATAAGTATTTTAAAATGTTTTTGTATACATAAATATTATTTTAGAGATGAACAGTACTCATAATTTCAGTACTGTTAAGGCTGTTTCTATATAGAAGCCTAATAACAAATCAGACCTAATATGTAATAGATAATTGGCATAGATTAGAAGGATGAATGTCTGGAAAGGCCTATCCTCTATTTTTCATTCTTAGATCTAACATAGAATCTAACCTTGTACACTATAGGGTCTTTATTTACTTACTTAACATATTTTATTGGGAATCTAATGTATTAGACACTCTGCTAGTCATTGAGGCTACAGTATTGAACAAATATTCAGCATTCCTGTTCTTAACAGAATTTCAACAAATACAGAAAACAAACGTTAAACATTTAATTACAAATACTGTGTGAAGGGTGATACAAGAGGAGTGTGAAGAGTTTTGACAATATTGTCTTTATTTTACAATAAAGGCCAAAATGCTTAATTTTGCCTTTAAGGCCTGTCCAAGCTGGGCTCTCCTTTCTCCCATGCTCATTGGATATTACTGTCCTAACTACAGTGGCCTGCTTTTGGTCCTCAAAGGACCTTCTTCCCTTCTTTTTAGGTCTTTGCTCCTGCTGTTCCTTCTGCCTGGAATGCTTACCACCCTTATACCACCTGATTCCCCAGACTTCACCTGGTTCTTTTTCTACAGCCTTCAGATCTCTGCACAAGAGTTAGTTCCTAAGGAAACCTTCCTTCAGTTTACCAGTTTAAATCAAATTCCCCCTCTATTTGTTCTCATAGCTCCCTGTTCTTTCCCTTCATATACTCATTACCATTTGTAAGTATATGTTTTTAGAATTAATTAATGTCTCTCTTCTTCTGGAGACAATAAGATCCATGAAGACAGGTCCTATTGTTATTATTTCTCTTTGTGTAGCACAGTGCCTAGCATGTAGAAGGTGCTCAGTAAATCTTTGTTGAATGTTAAATGAATGAATAAATGATTGAATGGCACCAATATTAAAGCCAGAAAGGGATAAGGGGAAAGGAGGAAGGGTGAAAGGAAGAGAGGATGTAGAATTAGTTTAATGACTATATGGTTCACATCTTGTATGTTATTAAAAGAATTAATTAGTGTTACCTGAAGTTGGAAAGCAGGGTATTAAGAAACTGTTGCTTTTGCTCAGATCAGCTAGAGAATTGAACCATATGAATTGGGTTATATGACAAGCAACTTTTAAAAATTAAACTAACTTAATGTTTTATCATTTTCACAGAGCTCAATTATGGGTAATACTTCTAATTTATTCCTTCAGAATCTTTCCCATGTACCACTGGCACAGCAACAATTAATGAAGTTTGAGAATATTCACACTAATAATGTAAGTATGGAATTATTTTTTCCTTTGAAATTAGCTCAGTTTTTAATGTATATATAATCAGGCTGTCTGTCAGATTGTAAGTTTTACTTGTGTAGTATTTTTATTTGGTTGTATCCTGCTGCCATGAGCAAAAGTCTGTCTTTTCTTCTTTTGCAGAAACCTGGCTTACTTGGAGAACCCCCAGCTATGGTACTGCAGACTGCAATAGGGATAGGGTCAACGCTTTCCTTGAAAACAGAGTTGGGCCATCTTGGAGAAGCACATAAAAGTAAATGATGTGTATTTGCTGAGAAATCAGTAAACAAATTCGAGATTTAAAACTAGTTTCCCTGTATTCTACTTTTATTTACAGGAAGGCCAATTCAAGTTTTATTTAGTCATTTAAAATTTCAGGAGCCTCTTGACTTTTCCATTTTTAATATTAGAAAACTATCAATAAGTTATTGATGGACTTGCTTCCATGCCAAGATGAGTTTTTCCCTGTTGGATATGATTTAATATTTAATGAAGGTTCACAACAATTTGAGGCAAAGACAGATCCATTTGAGACTGACATGTTGCCTACTGAGCTGACAACACATTTACATAGGGATCCCTTTAATTTTTGCCTGGATAAGAAACCCTTAGCTTTTATAAAGAAATATCTGGTATTTGTAAACTTAAAGTTTGATTATTTGTATCATTTTTAAAAATGTGATCTCCAAATTGGTATCGGAAGAAAAATAATATGTGTATGTATTTTTTAAAAAGAAACGAGTATGGTGATTACCATAATTTCTTAATTGAATATGATTTTGAAAGACACTTTCAGTTTGAAGTTCAGTTGAAATTTGTTTGAAGTGAGCGTGAAGTGAGGGAATAAAGGCCACCAGTAATTAAAAAAATATGTATACATGCACACCACACACACACACACACACACACACACACACACCCCCCATATTTAGCCTTTGTACATACAACCAGCAAGTCAAATGATCAAATTACTCAATTCTAACTGTCGATATTGACTGGGCAAACTTTAAACCAGTATTCAGACAGGTGTAGAAATTTTTATGGTGATAGGGGTCTGTCCTAAAAATTAAATTTTCTATGCCCAAAAGCTTAGTTGGATTAAAATGCCATGTTTAAATAATAAGGCTTTAGCATGTGTTGCATTAAGAACACTGAAAATTTAGTGTCCAAATAAATACATCCCTAGAAGATAGATCTAAGATAGCTATCTCTAAATACTAAATACTAAAAATAATCATTTAGTGCATTTGCAAAATGTAAATTTGACTCAGTTTTCAAAATTAGCTCTTTTCATTTAATTTTGACCTGTACATTGTTAAAAAGTGGAATAGTTCAAGATTTTCCTATTAAAACTTTCATTTCTTCCAGAATTTTTTGTTATTCTCTATAAATAAAAATGTGAAACTTTTAAATGTTACATTTGGTGTTCACAAATATCGATGGTTTTTAACCAGTGGTATGCTGATGTTTAAAAACCAGCTCTCTAAGTTAAAAAGAAGTCTCGAATTGTAGTATTTGTGGGCCCAACCATGGTTAATTTCCGGTTATCAATGTGAGGACATTGAACTCGAGAGCTGGGAAGAGATATGAGCTAGCTGACCAAATTTATTGCTGGATTTAATCTAACTTTATCAATTTTTAAGTGTCAGAGATTTTTTTTAAACTGAAGACTTAATTATTCCTTCAAATATGAAAGCAGGCAAGTGAAAATGATTGGGCATTGTTTAAATAAGGCACTGATGTAACTTAAATGCCAAATAGTGCATAAATTTTGCTCCCAACTTGTAAAATATACAATTAAATTAAAAGTTGGGATTACCCTGGAAGTTGTTGAAAATAAGAAAAGCATGATTACTATTATAGGTTTTTTATTTTTCCATACAAGAACCTGCTAATTTACAACCTCTAATGTCACTTTTTGAATTTAACCGTTCTCTAATAGGTAAAAAAAAAAAAAAAAAAAGGGGGGGGGGGAGGTTTCCCTGCATTTTGCCTATAACTTACCAATATCAAAAGGACTATTATAAATAAGTGTTATCTAACCAAAAGTTTTTGCATTTGTGTTCATTACAGCATCTAATCTGATTCCAACTCAAACAGCTCTGACAGCTGGGATGGGCATACTGCCATTCTTTCCAAATCAGCACATGGCTGGACAAGCTGGGCTAGGGCCCGGAAATACTCAGGAGAAGCAGCCAGCCTCCATGGGAATGGCTGAAGGAAATTTCTCAGGGTCACAGGCTTATCTTCAGAGCTTTCCAAAACTTACTGTTGGAGGTTTGCTGACGGGACACCATAAGCAACAACAAAGTCAGCCAAAAGGCACGGAGATAAGTTCAGGGGTAAGAAAACTCTGTGTATGTGTATATGCGCACGCGCACACACACACACACACACACACACACACGCACATATGTGTATATATGTGTGTGTATATACATATGTATGTATATATATTCGCATACACACTACACATGCATGAGTGTGTGTGTGTATATATATATATATATAACGGAATTATATGTATATGTACTTTTAAATACTTTTATGTGTATATATACTTTTAAGTTATATCTTAAATGAAATTCTACTTCTGTTGTAATTTTTGGTTATTTTATAGGTGGTATAATTTATGAAGTATTATAAAGCAATATTAACTTTTAATTTCAAAGGAAGTTAATAATTTAAAGCATATAAAAATGGATTACAAACTAGATCACTGCTATATGTCAATGACATGACTTTTTCATAGTGTACATTTACTTCTCAAAATAGAGAAAATATTACACTCTTTAAGAAAAAACCCTGTTATTAAAAACAAAATCATCTTTTGTTAATTTATGCAGCTAATGTTTGAGACTACACTTTATTACTTTTCAGTGTGTCTGTAAATAAAAATATTTTAATTTGTGTAAAATGAGTTAAGTCTATTATAAAATAAATAATTCGTGAATGAATTATTTATTACAAATATTTGCTTTTCTAAAATGTGAGATATACATAGTTTTCAAAAATACTTGATATTTTAAAAATAAAATAAACTAATTTAAATTCAAAATTTCATAGTTTGGAAAAGCTTAAGAGTATCATTAATAATTATATAAGGATATTATAAGGCTTTCTAAGTAAATAATAATGCTCTTCATTAAAATATACTCATTTTCCTATCATAAATGTATATTCTGTAGCTAATTAAGCTATTTTAATATTTATAAGGAGAACCAGTTTTACTTGAAAGATGGCAAAGTCAGCTATTAAGCTCTGATCTGTCCAAAAGAACCTAGTCTCTTTTAATTTTGGAAGTTTTTACCCAGTTCATAAACTACTGACATTTATAAATGCTGTAATTGGTGTAGGTAGAATAAAGTACATTTAATTTTTATTTTATTTGTACCCTAAAATATTCTTTGGTTTGTAAGGGTCACCTAGTCAAAGCTGGAGTATGGAGAAACACTACAATTAAACAGTGAGAAAGCTAAGGCATTTCTTTATAGAATAAATTTTAAAATTTTATTTGCAGTATCAATTGCTTGGGTTATCGGAGAAAAACAAATAGAACTTATATATAAATACTCTGCATATTTTTGCACAGAATCTTTAATTTATATTAAATGAAAGCCCCAGGGTCTCTAACAAAACTGGATCTGAGGTGATTCACATAATGGCAAATGAGAGTCTGTTCACTAAAAGATAGCCAAAATCGGGCAGGGTCTGGAAAACACATTCTGTGAAAAGTTGGGGGAAATGTATAAAGCTAGTTTGATAAGTATGACATACAATAAACCAAATTTAGGTTTAACATAACAACGAACAATTGAAGCTTTCAAACAAAGAAACGGTTTGACTATTTCACAAAGATGTGAATGTCTTATCACCAAAAGCAATTAAGCAGCATCTGTACAGATTGTTGTAGAGTGATTCCTCTTTCTGATAATAGGAAGTTGGACGAGGCAACCTCAAACTATATTTTTAAATACGTAGTAAGATTTTGGACTTGGTTAAATAATCAGTTTAACTCAGCTTTAGATTTTTAGACCTGCATCTTTTAAAATATTTTATTGAGGAATAATCGACATACAACATTATTTCAGGTATACAACATAATGATTTGATATTATATCTATAAGTCTAGTTAACATCTGTCACTATACATAAAGAATATTTTTTTCTTGTAATGAGAACTTTTAAGATCTACTCCCTTAGGAACTTTCAAGTATGCAGTACAGTATCATTATAGTAGCCAGGCTGTATATTATATTCCCATGACTTATTTATTTCATAACTGGAAGTTTGTACCTTTCGACTCTTTCACCCATTTTGCCTATCCCTTCAACCCCCACTTCTGGCAACCATCATTCTGTTCCCTGTATCTGGGAGCTTGTTTTTTGTTTTGTTCTGATTTTTAGATTCTACATACAAGTGAGATCATATGGTATTTATATTTCTCTGTCTGACTTATTTCACCTAACATAATGCCCTCATGGTCCATGCATGTTGTCAAAAATGACAAGATTTCTTTTTTTTTATGGCTGAATAGTGTGTGTGTGTGTGAACACATACCAAATTTTCTTCATCTATTGATAGACACTTAGGTTGTTTCCATAGGTTGGCTATTATAAATAATGCTGTGATGAACTTGGGGGTGCATATATCCTTTCGAGTTAGTGTTTTTGTTTTCTTCAGATAAATACAAGTGGAATCGTTGGATCATATGGTAGTTCTATTTAAATTTTCAATTTTTATTTTTATTTTTGCTATTGAGTTATACAATTTCCTTATATATTTTGGGTATTAACCCCTTATCAGATATATGATTTGCAAATATCATAAATCTCCCATTTAGTAGGTTGCTTTTTAATTTCGTTGATGATTTTCTTTACTGTAAAGAAGCTTTTTAGTTTGCTGTAATTTCTCTTGTTTATTTTTACTTTTGTTGCCTGTGCTTTCTGTTCTTATCGAAAAAATCATTGCCAAGACCAATTTCAAGGTGATTTTTCCCTATACTTTCTTCTAGTAATTTTATGGTTTCAGATCTTATATCTAAGTCTTTAATTCAAATTGAAGTTTTGTATATGGTGTAAGATCAGAGTCCAATCTCATCCTTTTGTTTGTGGATATCCAGTTTTCTTAGCACTGTTTATTAAAGAAACAGTCTTTCTCCAAAGTGTATTCTTGGCACCTTTGTCAAAAATTAGTTGACCACATACACATGGATTTATTTTTGGGCCCTCTGTTCTGTTCCATAAGTCAATGCATCTTTTTATAATGCCAGTACCATACTGTTTTGATTACTATAGCTTTGTGCTATAGTTTAAAATTAGGAAGTAGAATGCCTCCAGATTTGTTCTTAAGATTTCCCTGGCCACTCGGAGTCTTTTGTGGTTCCATACAAATTTTAGGATTATTTTTATATTTTTCTATTACTGTGAAAAGTACCGTTGAAATTTTGATGAGGATTGTGTTTAATTTGTAGATTTCATTGAATAGTGTGGACATCTTAATATTAATTCTTCCAAGATATTACCCTGTTAATACATATATCTTTCCAGTTATTTGTGTCCTTTTCAATTTCTTTCATCATTGTCACACTTTTTTTTTCACCTTGGTTAAATTTATTCCTATTTTATTCTTTTTGATGGTACTTTTTTTCTTAATTTTTTTATAAATAGTTAATTGTTAGTATGTAGAGATACAACTATTGGAAACAGTGGCTATATAACTTCTTCTTTTCTGATTTGGATGCCTTTTCTTTTTCTTGCCTGATTGCTCTGGCTAGGACATCCAGTACTGTGTTGAGTAAAAGTGGTGACAGTAGATATCCTTGCCTTGTTCCTGATCTTAGAGGAAAAGTTTTCAATTTTTCACTGTTGAGTATGATGTTATCTGTGGGCCTGTTCTTTGTACATGGCCTTTATTATATTAAGGTCCACTTCCAGTTTTATGGCAGTTTTTATCATGAAAGGATGTTGGATTTCATCTGATGGTTTTTTCTTTATTCTGTTAATGTGGCATATCACATTTATTGATTTGTGTGTGTTAAACCATCCTCGCTTGATTATTGTGTACATTCCTTTTAATGTACTGTTGAATTCAGGTTGCTAGTGTTTTGTTTAAGATTGCTAATATTTTGTTGAGGGTTTTTGCATCCACGTTCATCAGGGATATGGGCCTGTCACCTTTTCTCTTGTAATGTCTTTCTCTGGCTTTGGTATGAAGACATTGCTGGCCTAGTAAAAATAAATTAGGAAGTGTTCACTCATTTTCAGTTTTTTGAAAGAGTTTCAGAAAGATTGGCTTTAATTTTTTTTAAAATGTTTGAAAGCAAAGCCATCTGATCCAGGTTTTTCTTTGTTGAGTGTTTTTTGATTAATCCTTATTCATCATTGGCCCGTTAGATTTCTTCATGATTCAATCTTTGTAGGTTGTATGTTTTGAAGAATTTATCCATTTCTTCTAGGTTATCCTCTTTGTGGGCATGTATTTCTTGATGATAGTCTCTTTTGATCCTTTGTATTTCTGTGGTATCAGCTGTAATGTCTCTTTCATTTTTAACTTTGAGTGCTCTCTCTTTTATTCTTGGTTAGTCTAGCTAAAGATTTGTCTATCTTTTCAAAACACTAATACTTAGTTTTATTAATCTTTCTAGTCTCTATTTCATTTATTTTTACTCTAATAAATACTATTCTCTTTCTTCTGCTAATTTTGAGTTTAGTTTGTTCTTTCTCTAGTTCCTTGAGCTGTAAAGTTAGGTTTTTGACATAATTCTTTTTTCTTCATGTAGGCATTTACTGCAATACATTTCTCCATTAGAACTGCTGTCACTGCATCGCATAAGTTTTGATATGTTGCATTTTCATTTTCATTTGTCTCGATACTTTTTGATTTTCCTTTTGATTTCTTCTTTGACCCACTGGCTGTTGAAGAATGAGTTATTTAATCTTTACATATCTGTGAATTTTTCAGTTTTTTCCCCTCTTATTGATGTCTAGTTTCATACCTCTATGGTCAGAACAATACTTGATATGATTTCAATAGTCTTAAATTTCGGAAGGCTTGTTTTGTTGCTCAACATAAAATCTGTTTTGTTTTGTTTTGTTTTGATGTCATATCCATGAAATCATTGCCAGATTTAATATCATGAGGCTTTCTACCTAAGCTTTTCTTTTAAGAGTTTTATAGTTTTAGCTCTTACATTTAGGTCTTTGTTCCATTTGGGGTTAATTTTTGCATGTGATGTTAGATAAGAATGTACTTCTTTTACATATGGATATCTAGTTTTCCCAGCATTTTTATTGAAAAGACTGTTCATTCGCCATTGAATAATCTTGAAAATTATTTAACATTATATGTTGAGATTTATTTCTGGACTCTATTTCATTTGTGTGTTTGTGTCTTTATGCTACTCTCACACTGTTGACGTTGCTGTAGCTTTGTAGTAAGTTTTGGGGTTTCCTGATAGTCCATATGAATTTTAGGATGGATTTTTTTTCTGCAAAAAAGTTAAAATTTTGATAGGTATTATTGAATCTGTAGATCATTTTGGGTAGTATTAACATTTTAACACTATTAATTCTTCCAACCCATGAACATGATGTCTTCTCATTTATTTGTCGTCTTTAATTTCTTTCAGTAATTTTTTTGTAGTTTTCAGTGTACAAGTATTTCTCCTCCTTGGTTCATTTAATTCCTGAGTATTTTATTCTATTTCATGCTACTGTAAATGGAAGGAGTTTTATTTAATTTTCTGTTTGTATTTGTTACTGTATAGAAACAACTGGTTTTGCATGTTGATTTTGTATCTGAAATTTATTAGTTCTAAAAGTTTGTGTTTGTGTAATCTTTACAGTTTTCATGTCATCTGCAAACAGATTATTTTTTTTTAATCTGATGCCTTTTACAACTTTTTCCTGTCAATTGCTCTAGATAGAATTTTTAATACTATGTTGAGCAGAAGTGGTGAAGGCATCTTTGTCTTGTTCTTGATCATAGAGGAGAAGGTTTCAGTCTTTTCACCATTGAATATAATGTTACCTTTTTATTACATGACTTTTATTATGTAAAGATAGTTTCTTTCTATTCCTAATGTATCGAAGGTATTGAATTTTAATCATGTAAATGTATTGAATTTTGTTAAATGTTTTTCCTACAAAAATTGAGGTGATCATATGCTTTTTTTCAACATTCATTCTTTAATATGATTTATTACAATGAATGATTTTTGTATGTTGAATCATCCTTGCATTCTAAGATTGAATCCCAATTGATTATAGTGTATAATCCTAGTATTCTGCCAAATTTGCTTTGCTAGTGATTTATTGATGATTTTGCATCGGTATTGATAAGGGATATTGGTCTGTATTTTTCATGTAATGTCTGTCTCATTGCTGTTCTCATTGAATGAGTTAGGAAGTATTCCCTCCTTTTCTGTTTTGTGGACGAGTTTGAGGATTGGTGTTAATTCCTCTAAATGTTTGGTAGAATTCTCCAGTGCAGTCATTTGGTCCAAAGCTTTTCTTTATTTAGAGTCTGTATTTATTTATTTTAAAAAATTTTATAAATGATTCTCATTCATAGCTAGAATTGATAATCACTAAGATGGATATAATCTTATTATATTAGCAATCTGAGTACTTTATTAACAAAATCTGAGACGTCTTTGCTACTTTTTCTCAATCACTATATTTTCTCCAGGATACTTCCCCTTCTCTTGCTATATGCTTCCTTTTGGTATATATCTAATGGTTTTAGTTCCCACTTTTAATCTTACGGTTCTAACTTAGACTTCATTTGAGCTGTCTTATCTACTACTTGAGTATGAATTTCTTAAGGGTAGTATTCCTGTTTTATTCATTTTGGTACTATCAGACTTACCACAGTGCCTAGAGCATAGTAAGTGTCCTCATCGGCATCCGTGATTTACATATCACAAGGAAAACTGGACTTCTTCAGGGCTTATGAAGACGTTCAAAACAGATTCCTGTACCCAAATATAATAATATTGGTTACATAAAGAACAACTATAAGCACTGGCTCTCAAATATAGAAATAAACACTTGAGATTATACTTTCTTCATCCTGTTCAGGGAACAAAATAAAAATGAACTTAAGATGAAAACAATTGTAACTAGCTTTAATTTTAATTTTAGTAACCTGAATTGTATCTGATTTTAAAATCTTTACCATCAAAGAGTGAAAAGTAAAATATTGTCAGTATGAAATGCACTAAAGAATCAGCCTATGATTTTGTCTTTTTTTTTTTCTGTTAAGGAAATACTAGAATCTTTACACTTAGTTATATAAAAATATACTGATATCATATTTTCAAGAAATTAAATTTCTAGGGTTATGATCTAAATGTAGAATTGGATTTTATTAAATCTGCATATTTTGTTTGGTATCATTTTTAGTATCAAAGATAAATAAGCTTTGCCTTTGTTACTTGGCTATGGCCATACAATATAAAATAAAAATCTTACTAAAAAAAGATTATTTAAATCTTTTTTAAAAGTTGCACTCATGGAAATCACTTCCAGAATTTATGTTGATAATTGTTTACATATTAAAGTCTGCAATACCATGAATTGCTCATGCCCTGCTTTCCCTCGCACTAGAGCAATGATTCTCAAAGTGTATTTATTCCCCAACCAGCAGGATCAGCATTACCTGGAGCTTCTTAGAAATACAATTCTTGAACCCCACTCCAGACCTCCTAAATCAGAAACTGTGGAGTGGGGCCCAGGGACCTATGTTTCAACAAGCCTTTCACGTTACTCTGATGCACACACAAATTTGGGAGTCACTGACTTAGAGAACTCAGGGAATATTCGAGATTGAGGTCTGTAGATGAGAGTCAGCAGGCTCTGAAGCAGGCTCCCTTATGAGGGAGGGAAAGGAGTGGGAGAGAGGATTTCTTTTCATTTTCTATTGCCAGTTTTATATTACCACTTCTGTGAGCCTCAGGAATCACGAAAGTCTTGGTAATGGTGTGGGTAGAGGCGTTCGTTGCTGAATGGCAATATTCTGGGCAATGTAATATAACTTAAGAAAGAGTTTGAGGCCTGGCTCTAACACTAAATGTATTTTCTTTAATGTTGATAACAGTATTAATGGAAATAAGGTACAGGATTTGGTTTTTCATGTGAAGATGATTTCCCTCCTGGTTCAAATGAGAAGGTTGTACAAGGTGGCCTTTCATTATCTTTCAGTTCTAAAGTTCTATGGTTCCAGAATAGTTTTATTTAAAAAAAAAAACTAACTAAAAAAAAGTAGTAGGTGAAATGGGATAATTTTAATTAACATCCAGAAATATTTTATAACTATATCTCCAAACATTATGTTCTACAATTTTTTTTTGATCACACTAGACTAGATTTATTGAAGAATAAGTATTTCTTTTTCTGCATTTTTGTTTTCTTGTACCTCTTATTAAGCATCCACTCTTTTATTTATGATAAATAGGCTGCCTCTAAGAATCAGACTTCACTCTTGGGAGAACCACCAAAGGAAATTCGGCTGAGTAAAAATCCATATTTGAACTTGGCAAGTGTGTTGCCCAGTGTGTGCTTGTCCTGTAAGTGATAACTCAATATTTTGGAGTTTTATTGAATAGTTGCCATTATGAGTTTTACTTTAATTTTTAACTTGAGGTATATAATGTCTATTGACCAATTAAAGCCTCAATTATAAGTGAAGTCTTTAAATTGAAAGAATAACTAAAATTAAGACACTTAAAATGCATTCTATTTTATTTAAGGAAAACATCTTTTATAATATTTTAAGAATGTAGTCAGTTTATTGTATTGTTATTGAATCATGATTGAAAATAATTGGGCAAAGGAACTATTTGGCAATCCTATAATCCTTTAAAATACATATAGAATCATATTTCTAAGATAGAGGTTTAAACTGCTAAGTAATCTAATATATCCAGAGTATTTGCAAAATTCACCAAAAATATATGAGCTACTAATAATTGGCAGAAGTGGGATTCTCACTTTTTTGGAGGATTTCCTCAGGTCTTCATCTGGTGTAAATTAACTATTAATCCAAACATAATTCTAACAGAAAATCACAAATGCGGTGTGCTCAGTGCACTAGGATATTCAGTAAAACATTGGTTGTCAGTAGTGAAAAACTGAAAAGTGCCTTACTGTTCATCAGTAGAGGAAAGGCCAAATAAACAAACAGTTCATTGTAAAATTGAATACTATACAACTGTTTTTAGTAATTGAGGAAGAGCCAGCTACTTGTACCATTAGGAAATGATCTCTAAAGCAAATTAAGTGGAAAAAGCAGATGTATGCATTAAAAATTGTTCCATTTATGTTTATTTAAAGCTGTGTATTCTTACATGTACATATTTGAATATGTAAATACATAAAGTAAATCTGGGAAAATAAATTCTAAACAGCTGCCTCTGGGAAAAAGAATAGGATTGAAAAAAGATGAAAGATGAATTTTATTTTTAATGTGCATTCTCTATTTTATGAAATAGCCTCTTGAATCTAAACATTAATTTGTAATTTTTTAAAACCAGGAAAAATTTTAACATGCTTCTAGTATACCTGTTCTATTTTTATCTGGTATAAAAATTGATGGTTCCAATGATTACATTAACAAGAATGGTTAATTTACATTTTGTATGCTTTGTTTTAGAGATTGGACATGTTTTTTAAATGTTTCCACCAAAATTATTTATGCATAGGGCAAGCTGTCATTTTCAGCTGTTTTAAATGAACAAGACTATATCATTTACATTTTTATCCCAGGGATCATAAATATAGATATATACTGGCAAAGTAAAATTTGTGTTCTAGTTAAAAATATTCTGAATTAATAAGTTTTGTACTGTGTTTATAGCTTATAATAAAACAGCCTAACTATAATATATGTATTGATTTGGCCTTTAGCCCCTGCGAGTAAAACCAGTTTACAGAAGACTGGGATTGCAAGCAACATCCTGGATGCGATCTCTCAGGGCAGTGAATCACAGCGCACACTGGAGAAGTGCATCACTCAACCCTTTGGTGACTATGCACAGGTAAATGACTTTCAGATTTTGATAATAAATAGAAAAGTTGGTTCAACTATTTTTTGAGTTCACTGAACATGAAATTATGATTCCTATAATATCGTAGGAAACTAAAATTACACTAATCTACACAATACTTTTTGCTCACCATTTGGAATTTTAGGACACATTCAAGAGATTAATGTCATTTTGCACTAGATAGTTACCTGTCATTGTTTACACTAGTGATCAGCAAACTACAGACCAAATCCAGCCCACCACCTGTTTTGTAAATAAAGTTTTATTGGCCATTCATTTACATATCGTCTGTGGTGCAGTTGCACTATAATAGCAGAGTTGAGTAGTTACAATAGAGACTATGTGGCCTGCAGGATTAAATATTTACAGTCTGGCTCTTTACAGAAAAACTCCTGACCTCTCAGTTACATCATAGTGGAGAAACCCAAAGAAATGTCTCTGATTAAGAAACCCAAAGAAATGTCTCTATTCTTCACCACCGCTTATTGATGTAGAAACATTATCATAATTACAGGCACTGTTATGAAAAGTATTATATTCAAAAGACATACTATGTCATTACTTGCTTATGTCAGCTTTGCTTTGCCTTTTCTCTTTCAGCTTACTCTTAGTAGCTTAAGCTGAGAGTACATGTCATGTTAGCAGTATATGATTATGTAATAATGAGAGTATTATGATTAAAAATGCTGATTCTTTCTTATTTCTCAGAGCAGTCAGCTTTTTCTCAGCTCTATCCTGTCTCTTGGAGCAATGCCTACACTTTGTTTTCCTTGGAGCAACTCTGTTTGTCTTACCTGTTTCTAATAAACTTAGAAAAACAATGTGGATTCACTTAGAACAATTGGTACCTAGTTATGCTTTTATGATAGGGTACTAGAAACACAGGTCAAATAGACTCTGGAGAAATGGTGCAGCTGGATATTAGCAAACTATATAAAAGAGTCTCTTATATACCTGTGGAAAAGATAGAGCTATGTAGGTTAGGAGGTATGTAATTAGGTGGCAGCATACCTAATAAGGAGCAATAGTCAAGAACAGACAGAACCTGGAAGGCACCTTCTTACATGTTTCAGAGGGTTCCACGTTCATTCTTATTAACACTACTTATTAACATTCTAAGTAATGACTTAGATAAGGAAATTTGCAGGTGACAAAAGCCATAAAATTAGAGATGCGTAAAATCACTTATGATTAATTTATAGTTGTGAAAATTAGAAAGCCTAAATTTCCAACATTTGTATAAGACTGAATAAATAAGTTGTCATATTTATACCAGGAAATACTATGCAAATTTTACTTTTATTACGTCATATAAAACAATGTGTAAGCACATGGTAAATATTATATAATCTATTGTTTTTTAAAAAAAAATTATAAAATATAGTCCTGTACAATTCTGATTTTTTTGTTTCTTTATAAGGAACAAAATTTTATAAACAGGAGGAAGCACAATACATTTTAAAAAGTTTAGTTAAATGTATGATTTGTTTTAATAGTTATTTTTTGTACTTTTATTTCACTTTTGAACTTTGTCTTGCTTTTCTCATTAGGAGTTTTGCTTAATTGATTTCTGTGGTTTTTGGATACTTTTCCTACCTCGCTTCTGACTTGCGTCCTCAGAGGTACTATGGAGGTGTGGGTCCTCCCTGGATTCATTGTCCCCTTGGACAGTCCCTACTATTTCCTAACGCTTGTTCATGAAGTAAGATATTTTCTTTCTGTCCTGTGTTCTTTCATCCTGCTAAAGTAAACTTAATTAAATGTTAGTTATGGAATAAAGTAACTAGTAAAAGGTGGTCATGTTTTAGGAATTCCGTCTAGTATTCCCACTGCTAAAATGGAGGAGGAGATCTAAGGGAAAAACAAACAACATTTTTTTGTATGTTTTTTAACACTTGCTACATGCTTTGTAATGTAAGATTTACTCTTTCTAACAATCCTGAGATTTAAAAGACCACCTCCATAATCCAAGTGGAACACTATAAAGGGGCAAATAATCTTTCCAAGTTCATGCAGTTATTAAATGATTTCTCTGATTACGAAGTCCACATTATACCATGGAGAAGTTTCTTCAGGCATGGAAGTAGTATCTCATAGAAACTGCTTGTTTTTTGTATTAGCTGCTATACATAAGGATTAGGAGACAGTGGTTATGTCAAGATATAGATGGATATAATACCTACTTTCAATAAAACTATCACATTTAAAAATCCAAATTGGCATTCCCGTATTGGAGTTGCTCATCTTAGATTATCCCTCCTGCAGATAATCATTATTAAATTGTGTTAAATATGAAAGGAAAACAACTATTTGCAGGCCCTGGAAGATGACCAAAAGTAGGCAGAAACTGAAGGGAATCAGTCCTTGAAAGAGGGAAGCTGCACTGGATGAGATTAGTGTTTCTTTGGCTTTTTGCTTAATACCACCTAGTTTATATAGCCTTACCAGCTGATGGAGTCAGAGGACAGAGTTCAAGACTGTTAGCGAGGCTAAAAAGCAAGGGGGGTAATCTCAGGAGAAGGGGGTTACATAAGAAGAAGCCTCAAAATCTCTATGTAAACTGAGCCCATATATACTTGACCGACTCCTGAATTACGTTCGTGTGAGGGAGAATCTAGTGGAAAACAACAGACGGAAGGCTGAAGAACTGCGAAGAGATTCAACTCCTCCATACACAGAGGAGACAATTTGGAGTTTGAGTTCAGAAAAGTTAACTCCTTCTTACAACAAAAGTCAAGTTATCAGAGGAAGATTTTATAACCTATAGTCTCTACAATATATCATCCACAAAAATTACTAGATAGTTGAAGAAACAATGTTACGCACAATTAAAAGAAAAAGGAATTAATAGAAACTGACCCCAGGGTGACCCGGATGTTGGTCTTAGTAGACAAAGACTTAGAGCAACTGTTATAAATATGTTCAAGAACTTAAAGGAAAATAAGGTCAAAATGAACAGATAAGGAATTTCGGAAAGAAATATAAACTAAAAAGTATAGAAACTCTAGAAATGAAAAGTATAATATCTGAAAAAAAAATACACTGAATGGACTTAACAGGAGATTGGAGAAAGCAGGGGAAAAAAATTTTAATTAACATAAACAAATCAAAATGGAAAGAGGTTGAAAACCAATGACCGGATCATCAGGGATCAGAGGGACAGTATCAGGCAGTCTAAAATAAATGTTATTGGAGTCCCAGGAGGAGGGGAGAAAGATAAATGGAGCATAAACTATTTGAAAAAATAATGGTAAAAACATCTCCCAAATTTGATTTAAAAATCTTACAGATCTAACAGGCTCAGAGACGACCTTTGCAAAGCAGGCTAAATAAAAACAAAATTTGATCTAGGCACACCAGTTAATATGCTGAAAACCAAAGTTATAAAGAGATTATCTCAAAAGCAACAATGTAAAAAGAACGCACATTACCTATTGATATTCTGGGCCAAATAATTCTCTGTTGTGGCAGGCTATCTTGTACATTGTGGGATGTTTAGCAGCATCCTTGTCCTCTGCCCATTAGATTGCCCCCCATTGAGAACCACTATGTTAAAACAACTGGTAAATATGTGAGTAAATAGAAGAGAGACTATATTTTCTTTTTTAAATTTATTTAAAAGCAACATTATAACACATTGAGTTTATAATGGATTATAGATGTAACATATTTGATATTAGTTCAAGGGACAGCATGGAGTGAATGAAATTATGTTTGTAGGGTTATTACATTTCTCATGAAGAAGAACAATAGTAACTTGAATAAATTGTGATAAATTATGGAATGCATATGTAATCTGTAGAACGATCATTAAAAAATACAAAGAAGTACAGGCTAAAATGTCAGTAGTTTAATTACAATGGAATTTTAAGAACATTTGATTAAGCCAAAAATATCAGGAAAGGAAAAGGAAAATTGGATGAATAGAAAACAAATAGCTAAGTGATAAATCTCAATTGAATAATAATAGTTAAATCAAAATGGACTACATGTTCCAGTTAAACAAAGAGATTGTCAAAACAAAGCAAGAATGTACACTTTTACCACTTCTATTAAACTCTTTACTGGAGGTTTTAGTCAGTGCAACAAAGTTTTTAAAAAAGTATCAAATAAGAAAGGAAAAGTAAAAATGTTTCTTTTTGCGTATGACATGATTATTTACATAAAAAAATCCTAAGTATCTAAAAAACCACCACTAAAACTAGTAAGTAAACTTTTCAGTCTCAGAAGGGCGATATGCAAAAATGAATTGTATTTCTATATACTAGCAGCAAACAATCAGAAAATAAAGTTTAAAAAATTTTTCAATTTATAATAACAAACATGAAATACATAGCAGTAAATTAAGAGAATATTTGCAAGAACTCTACAATGAAAACTTGTTACAAAACATTACTGAGAAAAATTAAAGAAGATGCCTGTGAATGGAGTTACATACCGTATGTTCATGGATGGGAAGACTTGGATATTGGTATGATATCAGTTCTCAAATTGATCGATAGATTCAGTACAATTCTAACGAGTTTCTCAGCAGTCTTTTTTCTTAGAGATTAACAATCTGATTTTTAAAATTATATTGAAATGCAAAGGAACCGCACTACCCAAAACAGTCTTATAAAAGAACAAAGTTGGAGGACGAATTCAAGATGTAAAGTCATAGTTACTAAGACTATGTGGTGTTGGCCTAATAGTAGGCAAATGTATCAGTGGGACAGTCCAAAAATAGACGCATACTTAAGTGGTAAATTGATTTTTGACAAAAATGCCAAAACAATGTCACAGGTGAAGAAGAGAAATATTAGAACAACTGATTATCCATATTGGAAAACATGAGCCCGGACTCTTGACTCATTCCATACTCTAAAATTAGTTTGTGATATATCATGGGCCTACATGGAAAATCCAAGCCATAGATGACATCAGCAAAAATGACACAATGGAAACCTCTAAATGTTCTCTCCTCCAAAAATCACCAATAAAACTGGCAAAAA